TGATGAAATAACAGTTGAAAGTGTAGAAATTTATTCAATGAACTCGGTTTTTTACTTTGGTTGCTTATTGAAATACCTACTTCATAACTAGTCCAGAATTCTATATTAGATTCATCATGAACTGATATCAGTTGGGGAACTAGTGAAAACCTGGGAGCACTGGACACCCAGCTGTTTCGTCTTAGTGTGTGACTCCTCAGCAGTACACATCTACAACCCCCGTTAGGGATGGAACTCAAGACCTTCAGGTACCACAGTGAATGCGTTAACTATTTAGCCACTGGGTCGGTTCTCAGTGGTTCAAAATTTCCAACTTCTGTCAATTTACGATATGAGTCGACTATCACCCAAGGTGTTCAGATGGCATGCGCTTCCCTTCCGACTAGTTTACTCCATCACTTGTCACGGCTTCTCATTAGAACTTTATGATATTCATCTGGAAGCATGTCACTAATGGGCACTAAACAGTAATGTATTTTTGAGATGAATAGGGATTTTAGTTTAGAGGTAGTATTTATCACGGACTGACATCAGTTAGGGGAACAGAAATAAGTCTAGAATTCACCTCGCCTACTAATGCATACTGAGTTGGCATTAAAAATAATCCTAAATCTACCAGATGAGACACTGTCACTGCTTTGTATAATGTACATGCAGTCAAACAACACTATTCAGGTTTGCGCACTGGCCAGTATTCAACAAGTAATGAGGTAGCTTATGACATTCGTGAATTCAGATACACTAAAAGAGAATAGTTTCCAATCCAAAAGGCAGTGTTTAGTATTCAAAGGTGTAGAGCATTAATGAATAAAAACTCTTACGAGCTACTTCTCTTGTCACCATATTACGAAGGAATGTAAAAGCTTCACTTATATAGCTTACCTATCGAACTACTGCTGGATTCTTTCAGTCATAGAACCTCTGGGAAAGCAGTTTAGACCCATTTACATGAAGGAATGACACCTTTAGTCTATCATATTTCCACTATATCACAGTAACAAAAAGTAGTTTGAACAAAGAATAAGCATTCATAACGTACTATTGGACTACTTCTAGCATGACTAAAATGACAGAGAATATTTCCCCTTAGATTCCCCTAATAGGAAACAATTTGACATATCAACTCTGACTGTATCCAAAGTTTCTGACTTGCCTACTTCGTTTAGAAAAATATTTTGGCTTTCTTAATTTTCAATGCATGAATCTACAAGGTTGTTTCAGATACAACTCATCTTTCATATTACATTTTGAATCTCCTCAAAAAGATCATTGAAACCCTTTCCAAATTCGAATCTATATTGTCTAACAGTTCCAATAATTTGACATGAATTTATCCATTTCATTACTGATCACAAAGACATAACGAATGACTGACCAAAGTACAAAAGCGAAAATATTTTACTTAGATAATTCTAGAAATAGGACCTATGAGGAAGTGATATCAACTCACTGAGGAGTTCGATGAAGTAAACTTGTGAAGGAAATCTGCTCTGCGATGGATGAAATTAAGACTGTAGCACTGGATGAGGTAGATTCAAATCTTTTGTTCTCTTAAGATTGCAGACAGGTTTTGCTGACGAGTGCCAGCAAGCACCAAACCCAGGTCAAGAGCTTTCAACTGATTGTCTCCAACTTATTAACATCCACCAAAGTACATCACTGCGATGAGTCTGCTGGTTTGATGGTGATACTACAAAATGATCGAGAGAATTCCGTCAGCACCCAGAACTAGACGACATGAAATTGCTAGTGGTCCAGTGACCAATCACCATGTCTAATTCAGTCTTACAGGAGGTCACTTACGAGTGGAAAAGCTCAGTGGTAACACCAGTGACTGCAGTAATGGATGACATGGGTTCGAACCTTAGAGGGGATATCAAATTCCTCGGGGTTATAGATATGCCTTGCTGACGAGTGCCAACAGATACAAAACCCCGGCTAAGAAACGGTTTCTACCGACTGCTTCCAACCAACTAATAAAACAGACTATTCTAAGCCTTAGTGTAGAGAAGGAACTGGAACAGATAAGACAAAAATCGGTACTGTAGTAAATCACCAATTATTTATTTATTATTATTATTTATTAGTCCCTTAGGTTCCTAATGAAACACAGAGATTCAGTAGCACGTCTCCAATGCCCTCTGTTCTCTGAAATCTTTTGAACGTGGCTCCACAACAGCCCAGAAGCTCTCATTTCCTCCTCGCACGATCTCCTCCATGTCATCCTCGCCTCGAACACCCAACTCGTCGCTTCCCATGGGGATTCCACTCTAGGGCCTGACGCGTGATGTCCCCAGTCGGCCTTCTCAGTGTATGCTCAATCCATCTCCACTTCCTTCCAGTGCATAGTTGTTCAGCGATAGCTTCTTGCTTCGTTGGTTCGTTGGTTCCTTTCCAGAGCTCCTTGTTGCTTATCCTTATTATTCTGGACATCTGATCTTCAGTAGCCAGCCAGTGTAGGCAGCAGCTGTTGATGAATGTCTGTAGTTTGTTGGAAATAACTTTCGTAACGCCCCAAGTCTCTGAACCATACAGAAGCACTGATTTAACGTTGATGTTGAAAATCCCGATCTTGTTCCACATGCTGAGTGCACTGAAGTGGATCCCCACACTGGTTTCAGGCTAATAAACGCCTGTCTTGCTTTTCCGATTCTGACTTTGACATCCTCGTCTGTGCCGCCTGTAATTGAGACAATACTACCTAGATAGGAGTAGGTGAAGGAGGCTACTTCCTTCAAGTTTCTCCCATTGATGGTGATTTGAGATTGTTGGTGTTTTGTAGGTGTTGGTTGGGTATCTTCATCACCTCTGTCTTCTCTGTATTCACTTGAAGTCCCATCTTCATGGTGGTGGTGGTGGTTGTGGTAGATTCAAGAGCTTCTTGAAGTGGTCAGCCCATCGCTTCCTCTGTTTCTCTTCTTTCGTAATTAAACTTCCGTCATCATCTTTTATTGGTTTCGTCTGCGTTGATCTCTTCCCAGGTAGCAACCTGGTTATTTGATACAATGTTGTCAAGTCTCTCCTACCAACTTGCAGCTTGTTCTGCTTCACTTACCAATGTGTCGTCGAAGTGTGTTTTCTCTTTGTGCGCACTCTTCTTCACTTCTTCGTCCAGTGTTTTGTACATTGTACTCAGTTCCTCTTCTCGTTGTGCATCCTTGGACTGGTTCATCTTCTGTTTCATCATCCTCCTCTCCCTGCTCTATTAGCTTCCATGTATCCATCGAGATCCATTCCTTGTCTTGTCTCTTCTTCTTCCTTCGTAAAACGGTTATGCAGGTTCCCCTCCACATCTCTTTCGCAGAGTTCCAGTGTTCTTCCACACAGGTTTCCGAACGGATGTTGCTTAATGTGTCCCATTTCCGCTTGATGACGGACTGACGCGAAGATGTCCTTGTGGTTTTGTGCTTTTGTTTCTGTTCTGGGTGTTCAACTTCAACTGTGGTCTATCACTAACTGCTTCGAATTGAAGGCTTTCAACTTGATCTTCAAGTTTCCATGCACTCGATATTTTGATGGTCTCAACCTACATCTGCTCCTCTTCTTGACCTTGTGTCAAGTAGGCTGGCTGCGTCTCCACCTCCTTCCCATTGAGATGAAGTCGATCTGATTTTTAGTGTGGTGTGTCCTGGTGTCTGGTGAAATCTATGTCGCTTTGTGGATATCATTGTGCTTGAACACACTGCCTGACTCCAATCACCAAATCGTTGAATGCACAGAATTCTGCAAACAATTCTCCATTCTCGTTCATCATTTCACCGAGCACTTCTTGGCCAATGGTTTGTTCTCTTCCTCTGTTGTCCACCCCCAGTTTGGCATTCATATCCACACACCCATTAGAATTTCGATATCGCCAACTGAGACGCGGTCTTGTCCAGTGCTGATTGCAGTTGTCTGTAGAATTCCTCCTTTTTCTCTTGCTCTGCATTATTTGTAGGTGAGTGGTATTGGCATTGTATGATTGTCACCTCCCTCCCTTCCTTTTGAGTTGAACCTTGCTGTCATGATCCTGCCGGAGGGGATTGGTTCCCACTGCATAAGAGCCTTCGATGCTGTTGGGGACATCATGATAGCCACTCCATAACTCAGTGTGCTCGTGGTTGTCGTCTGGGTGAAAATACCGGAGTAGACTATTGACTGGTTGGCATTTGACAGTTTGGAGAGTCCACTCCCATTCCATCTGCTTTCGCAGATCCCTAGCACTTTTATGCTATATCTTCTGGTCTCTTTTGCAATCTGGTCAGCCTTGCTAGGTTCAAACACAGTGCGGACATTCCATGTCCCCATGTTCACTTTCGCTTTCATCGAGAGAAGACACATCGGCCAATTGGCTTCATGGAGGCTTTCACCGAGTGGCGTCATTTCGCCTCTCCGATCCCAGCGAGGAATAATTTTGTTATTATTTTTTATATATCGTTTGTGCTTTGAAGTTCCTTTAGCGGTTAGATTTGTTTTACGGTGTAGAGTTGCTAGGCTTATGCCCAACCTTCCCTTTTTAGCTGGGTTTAGGACCGGCTAGTAACTAGTAAACTAGTTAACTAGGCTAGGTTAAATCATCAATTAAGTCCAGTAAATCTTAGTAATCTATGAAAGAAATACCTATTCATTTCAGATAGCTAACACATTTTTGCAAGATTCATTCTGTTAACCAAAGCACCTCAATACTAAGTAGCTTATGTCTTTCAACGATCAATAAAACAGAAAACTAAGAATATAAATGCTGTACTATTTTGACTTGGTCACTGAAAATCGTTTCCTTTTAAAATTCTAATCTTGCCAGCTACAGTTTGTCATCAAGAGAACTTGTTTAGGAAAACCACTTTCTTAAAAACCGTACTACTTTCTTTGCTCTTTTCTGATTAAAAACCATTTGAAAACGAATTGTACTACAAACCTACTCGATCAATTATTTTGTAGATCACTCACGCGTCCTGCAACCACCTCAGTTCAGCGTTTTTCAAATATCCATTAAGGTTCCAAGTCATCGAATACAAATAACAATGAATTTCAAGTTGTTTCCGACGGAAATTTTTGTGTATTGGATTATTTTTCTTCTAGAAGGAGTTCTCCTGTCCGGTAAGTCATACTTAATATAGTCTGAAATGCTTTTATGTTCTTGTATTGATAACACAAATGCTGGTTAGTATCTTGGATTGCTTTTCTTTAGTTGTTTCGTGTCCTATGATGAATCAGTTATAAATAACCGAATCCCAGCACACAAATAATTAAGAGTACTGTCTCACTGGTGCCTAGTCTTGCAGGCTGAAACAAGTGTTCTGGATTCTCACCTCTCAGATATTCAATCACAAGTTACAATCCTCTTTACCTACTTTAATAGGGTAGTTGGTAAGACATTAAAGGAACACATCGAATACAAGTACCCCTCAACAGTGCAACACTGTGTAAATAAATAATAGTAAACCTGGTAAAGGAAATAGTTAAAAACTTGTCCTACATCCTTCCAAGGATTAAATGTTTTATTGACTTAAAGACATTGCGATATCTTGGAGGGATGCTTTGAATTAGTAAACCTCTTAGAGTAGTACGTCTCGAAAAATAAGTTCTCAAACTATTTGCTTTTTGAAGATAGTATTCATCATAGAGTGAGATCAGTTGGCAAACTACTGAAACCTGGAAACAGTGGACAGCTGTTTCGTCCTAGTAAAGGACTCCTCAGCAGTGTGTCGTCATGGCCCACCAGGGGTCAACCCCAAAGACTTCAGGTTTCAAGATGAGCGCGTTGCTATCCAGTTACTGAAGTAATAGCTTTGGGGTCAATGAGGTTTCTTACCATAAATTTCATTATTAAATTTGATATAAGAAAAAAATGTACAGAATAGTATAAAATACAGTTTTGTAAATAACCCTTGAACTTTACGATAATCTTCCTTAATTATACTCCTCAGTGACTTCCATATTTTCAGAAAATATAACTGGCCTAATGCTAATCAGCACACTATATGAGTAACAATTCATATGGTTAGGAAGTGTATTCCACTATTCTCGGAGAATAAACGTATATTATTCGAATTAATGCGCACCAGTTGCATTGATTCAACCTAAAGGTTTGAAAGTTCAGCCCAAACAGGGAATATGCTCATCTCTAATCATAAGCATTCGGAAAGTAAAATCACTTAGATAGCCTCATATCAATTAATAATATATGCGACAGGATGAAAAAACTTGTCGGGGATCTTGCTGTACACTCTGTGACAGGTGCTACGGTGTTACTTCCAGCTAAAGGTATCAAAACGCTCGTCAATTCAGTTTGAAGTAAGCTCTAAGAGGAGACAGATCCAAAGATATTTATGCAATAACTTACCTGAGGGCTACTTTCCAGTAGTAATCGAAACCATCTGAAGGGGAAATTGATACCAAGGGGTGCTAGTTAGTTAGAATGTCATGATTGGCGACATGTCAAGAAACAGTTTTCCCCTATGACATTGAAGAAGATAGGCAGAGTAGGTGATGGTTCGGCAATAAAGATACTTTGTAGAAGCATCAGTGTAACGTTTTATCCTTCCACAGATTTTAAAGATTCAATTACCATGATTATAGACACGATCATCTGAATGATCTCTAAATGAAAAATCTGTATGGATATTCTAACACCACCTTTTTCGTATGCCATATTTCAATCGGACATTTTCAAAGTGTTTATCAGTATGTCACAAACTTGTCTGACTAAAGTACTCAACATGTACATCAGCGATGCAAATAATAAGTGGCTTTTGGACAAAAACCCTTAATTCTGAGACTAGGACAATCTCAGTGAAGAAATAAACCATAATTTCCAACACCTGTACACTTTGTAAACTGTTACCTTGTCCTCAAAATATTTTATATTAAACTCTTCTCTTCGTTCAAAGTTAATTTTATAGTCAAATGAAATAGCTATTACTACTGATACCTTCAAGATGAAGTTGAAAACAAGTTGTTCTTGAAAACAAAAACAAGCAAAGCAGAATTTAACAATTCCCGGGTTTTTGGTCATACAGTCTACAGTGCTGAAACCATTATTTTCAAGCTATCTTTGCATATATTCTCCAAAAGTTATCTTTGTGTTTTGGTGTCCAATACTTTGTTAAAATGTAAATCCATCTCAATCATCAAAACAGAATGGAAAATCCCCTTCATTTGCTATTTTTCTTCTTTTGGTATCTATACAGTTTGTAAAAGTTTTGTGCTAATATGAAATAGGAAGGACAAAATATAGACAAATGAAACAGGTATATAAATGTGGAAAATAAGGCATTTATCAGATTGTATACTGTAGATTATCAATTGTCTCTTGACAATGGAATATTGTTGAGAAATAAACTGTTCACCTAGACAACTTTGTAAGTGTCATCCTTCATCTGACCTCATAGTATATCCTTCTTCAATAACTGTTATCTGTTCCTTGTAGTGTTTGTTGTTGTTGTTTAGTTTATCAAATGGATATACATGCATGCATGCATACATGCATCGAAGGTGCAGTTCTTCTATAATCATCCAGGATGAAGTTAGTTTTCACCTGTATACACAAAAAATAACAGTATATGATACGATATTTTCAGAGTGAAAGTGAACAAAATAACATCACCTATCAACCTGTCAGTCTTAGTCTAGTGCATCAAGCACCCTGTTGTTATTGTCCTTTATTCTGCTACAACTACAATATTTCCAATCCTTTATGCATATGTATATATGTATGTACGTATGCAGCAGTGAAATGAATAAACCAGGTATACACTAACACTTACACCTTCAGAATGACCGTTTATAGACTGTACCAGTCGGAAATATATAAATATGTCTAAAGTCACGTGTTTGTAGCCAGGTACACTACTCTCCTTTCTCTGATAGCAGTAAGACAACCATCACCAACCACCAACACCATGAAAAAAATCTATCAAAATTAATAATGACCAAAAAATAATTGGTTTTCAATAATTGAAAACATCGCCGTTCTAAAAACAAATAAATATTAATAATTCTGACTAAGCGTCATCCAGATAAGTAAATAAATAAATAAATACACCGTTTAGTTTCTGCTTTTTGCTAGATTAAAAGCCAAGTTTTTAACTGGCACTTTTTCCTATAGATACTGTGTATTATAGATTGTATCTTAGTTACAAATCTGAACATGGACTGCCTCCATACTACTGAAATGTTTGATAAGTAGCATTGGAATTTTTAGCGTTCAAAATTCAACATGTACTTCAATGAATCCATTGTTCATCTATGTACTTAGTGAAGAGACCTCTTCTGACCCTTGGATTCCTAGTGGAACATAGCCAGTCACTAGCACGTCTCCATTCCACTCTGTTCTCTGCAATCTTTTCAACCTGACTCCAAGACTGCCCACAAGCTCTCATTTCTTTCTCAAACGATCACCTCCATGTCACTCTCGGACACCCAACTGGCCGTTTGATCCTGGAGGAGAATGGTTCCCACTGCATAAGAGCCTTCGATGCTGTTGGGGACATCATGATAGCCACTCCATAACTCAGTGTGCTTGTGGTTGTCGTCTGGGTGAAAATACCGGAGTAGACTATTGACTGGTTGGCATTTGACAGTTTGGAGAGTCCACTCCCATTCCATCTGCTTTCGCAGATCCCTAGCACTTTTATGCTATATCTTCTGGTCTCTTTTGCAATCTGGTCAGCCTTGCTAGGTTCAAACACAGTGCGGACATTCCATGTCCCCATGTTCACTTTCGCTTTCATCGAGAGAAGACACATCGGCCAATTGGCTTCATGGAGGCTTTCACCGAGTGGCGTCATTTCGCCTCTCCGATCCCAGCGAGGAATAATTTTGTTATTATTTTTTATATATCGTTTGTGCTTTGAAGTTCCTTTAGCGGTTAGATTTGTTTTACGGTGTAGAGTTGCTAGGCTTATGCCCAACCTTCCCTTTTTAGCTGGGTTTAGGACCGGCTAGTAACTAGTAAACTAGTTAACCAGACGAGATGAAATGCCTGATACCCAGTGAATATTCGCCTAGACATCGAATTCCAAACTATTGATAACAATGGAAGTCTTATTTTAACACTTGTAATTTCGTGTTGCTTTGATGGGTCGAATTGCTTGACCTCTGCTATTGGCAGATCGGCTGCTTTGAGGATGCTTCGACAGTGACGGATATTCATGGTATTATATTCGTCTTGGCGACTAGCAGAAGAATTCAGGACGCACGCTTCATCTTGTTTAGGACTCGTCAGCTGGATGTGCATGCATCCCAGTGCCAACACAGATCAAGCTGTTCGACACTTCAAAGCAACGGGAAATTGCAAGTATCAAAACGATATTCGATATTCACTGGACAAGAGGTAGCTACCACGTCCCAGTAACTTAGTAGAAAACGCTTTTTCGTTCGAAGTGATGGGTACTGTGTTCGAGTCTTAGTGAGAACGGCATAACTCCGCACCATGGCGTAGGTACATCCAGCCGAAGAATCCTAAGTACGAAGAGTCACGCGCTTTGGATTCCACTGAATAAAGTAGAAGTAATATGTTTACTAGGGTTTTCGGAAGAATTCTGGAAATATATGGCTTAGTATCTTGAAGCGGAAATACATTTGCTAGATATTTCAATTTCTTAGACATAGAATCCTAACTTCAAACTGATTTAACTGTTAGTGATAGTTGTTTTAGATGATAAAAAAGAAATGGCAACATAATGATGTCGGAAGAAATCCATTCGACCATAGGAAAAGAGTGAAACTGATTGCAGAGAGGAAAAACTTTTCTTTCCGATGAAATCATTTTCTTAGCTGTCCGTCCGTGAATAGTTAATAGAAGAAATAGAACATACGAAAGTAATTTCTGCATAAAGGTCAAAGGAAAGTTGTGTAATACATGTCGGTATTCAAAACAGGGAAGACAAAAGATAAAAGATAGTTACAGCGTGAGGAAGTTATCTAGAGTGATTGATCATTTATGATAACCATGGCGAAGAAAGTGGTTGTAGATACTTCTTTTGAATGGAGGTAATGTTTTAGCTCTACTTAGATATCTCAACCGTACTCTTTTATAGTTTATTGGTCATAATCTCTACAACATTTTGAAAAATTCAACGAAAGGAGTCAAATGT